TTTTCTTTGTTGAAGAGGGTCTGTGCAATCCTTCTGCCTAGTCCGCCATCTTGCCCCCCTCTTCCTTTCATCTTGAAACATTTCTCTCTCTTGGTTTACATGCCATCACCTGCTTCTAATTTTCTCCTTGCCTCTGTGGGAGATAATGTAGCCCAGAAATCACAGTCCTTTGGCCTGTGTTCAGTCCCAGCCCTGCCATTTGCTTGCTGGTCGTGTAATTGAGTCACCAAACCTTTCTAAGCCAGAATGTATCTTCATTCTGCAAAATAGAGTTTCACTGAGATGATCCATACGAAGCTCTGAGCATAGCTCCTGGCTTACTGCCTTATTTAGCACTGGTAGTTGCCATTCTGATTGTGGCTGGCCTTCTCTTCTCATTCTCTTGTGTGTTAGCCTCTCCTCATGCAGTTTCATTTACTATCTATATATGCTGATAACTTACAAGCCTGTTTCTGTTCTATCTGTCCCTCACTCTTCTCTTTTATTGTGGTGAAATGTCATACTAATCATTCTACTCCCTATTCAAAAAGTGAATCATCCTAAGCAGTTTCCTTACCCTTTAACTCCTGGTCCTATGTTTTCCTTTCCATTTCTATTGTTCCCGCTATAGGTCAGGTTCTCCTTGGCTTTTTCCTGTATGAATAGTTTTTAAAATTGGTGGTTTAGTGATAGAACTCTCACTTTCTATGTGGGAGACCCACGTTGAATCCCAGCCAGAACACGCCATGCATAGCCATGCCTGTCTATCAGTGGTGATTTCTGTGTTGCCTTGATGCTAAATAGGTTTCACTGGGGCGTCAGGACTAAGGTGGACTAGGGAGAAAAGCCTGGTGATCTACTGCAGAAAATCAGCCAGTGAAAACCCTATGGATCACAACAGTGTGATGCACAGCTGATCATAGGGATGGCATGGAACCCAGCAGCATTTAGTTCCTTTGTGTATGGGGGTGGCCATGAGTCAGAGGCTGGCTCAGTGACAGCTAACGACAGCAGCAGCAGTTTTCAAGCAGTCTTCTTGTCATGACTACTAGGTATTGTATTTTGTGTAAATACTATGCCCATATAAATAATACACACTCACATATAACAGGCAGAAATGACAAAATTCTGTAAAAAAGTTCTGACATTGAGTGGCCATGCATACGTGACACATGTATGTGACAGTTCCAGAAATTAATTTTGGTCTCATTCCACTCTCATTCAATAGTCTGAAACTGTTACTTTTTGTTCATATTTGTATGATAAAGCTATAAGCTGTGGTCAAGAAGTCATGGATGGAGTTTTGTAATACTCAGTAATTGGAAAATATACAATTCAAACTGTACATTTGCTCTGGGGCAGTTTGCAGTTGGGCCTGAGAGCAGTGCAGCTCCTTGTAGTTGATCTGCACTCCAGTATGTCACACCAGAGGTGAGCAGAGGGTTGGGTAGAGGACTGCATGTGGGGCTCCCATAGCCTGAGCAGTGGGTGGTTCCATAGCAGGCAGGGGCTGTTGCCTGTGTGCTCTGGGTCCTGCAGTGCTGGCCCCATGTGAAGCTGGGTGGCAGGATGATGCAGGTCTGCACTGTCCTGACACTACACGGCCTCTGGACAGGACCCATCACATCTGAGTGAGGGATGCATGACCCCTGTGTGCCTGCAGTCTCATGCCCTCCATCTCTGTGGTATCTATATAGGTGGAAGATTCAAATAGCTTAAGCATGGTGGCTGGCCAGCTAGCCAAATGGCAGGGCAGAGTGTATGCAGCTGCGGTGTGCTGGCCTTGCCCACCTAAGCTGCCTCTGCAGCCTAGGGTATGCAAACCTGTGCAACTCCTGTGGTGGGACTGTTTCTGGGGTGGAAAAAGTGGTTTCTTTCTGCATTGGAGAAAGTGGTTTGCAGAGCAGGGAAGGAATCCTACTGGGGAGGGGCTGCTTTAGAAACTAGAGGACTGGTGAGGGTCTGCTGCTGGGAATCAAACTTTGGCTTCAATGGGCACCAAGATGAATGAAGGCTTACCATTAAATCCATTGGACAGAAAGAGAAAACGGAAATTGAAGTCAGCAACATGTAAAAAATATTGTTATAGCATGCTTATGAAAATAATGCATGGTATGTAAAAACGTATAGTGCTTGTTATTATTGTAAAAGTACAGTAGTCTAGTCCATTGTCTCCACTGCTGCCAGAATAATATTACTATGCAGTACTGTTGGCATTTTTCTTTGCTTAAACATCCTCCAGTCCTGTTGCCTACAGGGTGAAGCCTGAATTCCTTAACATGGCTTTGCCGTGCTCCTCTCCCCACACTGTGACCTCCCCCTTGTTTGTTTTCCTATCCAACCTTACCTCTTGTTCTAATCTGTTGAAAGAGTGACATGTTGTCCAAAATACTAGTTTGTTTCCTTCTACAAGTCTTCTGTGTGTGTTGAATACCCTCCTGCATGTCTCTACTTTCCTGAACATGCTTGGCAAATGCAGTTTTTCTGATTCTTTTCCTTCCGCCTTGCCCCAACCCAGTCAGCTGACCACTCCTTCAATATTACAATATTTGGCACATGGAAGACATTAAAAAAAAAAAGGCTCTTGAATGAGTAAACAGACACGTGGACTTCCATATGAATTATTATACCAAAACCAAAACCCACTGCCATCTAGTTGAATCCAACTCACAGTGCAGAGTAGAACTGCCTTATAGGGTTTCTAAGGCTCTAAATCTTTTCAGAAGCAGACTGCCTCATCTTTCTCCTGTGGCTAGTATCTTTGAACCACTGACCTTTTGGTTAGCAGCTGAATGCTTTAACCACTGCACCACCAGAACTCCTTGCATTATTGCACAGTTAGTATTAAATTCTCACATTAAATAACTTGGGACGTCTATTCATTTTTCAGATGATATTGATGATGTCTTCATAATTGAAATGGTTCCATTAAACAGAGAGAAACTGACAATTTGTCCTGAAAAAAAAATAATCTTGACCTACACTAATTTTGAAGGAGTATCCTCTCAAGTAAATCTTACCAATTTCCTTTTCAATATTTTGCTGCTTTTATTTATTTTGCTCCTTTTAATTAAATTAAAACATATAAAATTGCCAATATTCAATCATTTTTACCTTCAGTTTCATATGGCTCTATGTGTAGAACCAGTAGAAGGGAATTTATTGGTCTTCACATATCTGTGTTCTTTAAATGGTGTGGAAATGGAGGCTAGCCTAGCTGTGGGTGGGTTTGCCAGTTAGTAGAATAAAGAGCTCTAGCTTAACGTCATGACCACCCCATAAGACAAATGGGAAAGAGGCTTTTCCCTCTCTCCTTTTTTCCAGTTGGCCACAATCCTTTGTTTAGATTAGAGACAGGGAGTGAAAGCTGCTACTAGTCAACACTGTGGGGCTGGGAGATCAAACCAGGAAACACTCCTCTTCTCTTGGAATGTGTTTCTCTGGACTCATGATCATAACACTTAATACTATGGACCTTCATGAGCTCAGGTTTTCATGGAGGATCTTGCATAGCTGATTCTGTCTCCTGGCCCTATGAAGGTGACTTTTCATGTGGTGTAATTCAGAGCCACTAAAGAGAGAAGGTCCTTGAGCGGACATGGAATCACATGGTTGCTTATTTCCTTGTTGGCATTCTTCCACATGAAAGTTCTTCCACATGGCTATCTCCTGCTATTATCTTTGTTTTTTTTTTTTTAATTGGAGTAGTATTGTTATTGTTGGCAAATACAGTAATTGGAGGCTGAGGTGGCATGTATATGTGTGTGTGTGTATGGATATAATTTGCCTTAGGTGACTGTACTTACATACATTCATAATAAAAGACATGATTATAAACCAGGCTAGGTATGTGTTCCTCCCCTGCCCATCTCCTCCCCCCCCCAGCTGTTTCCTTCTCAGTTTCATAAGGTGGCCTAATAAGAGTTTTGAGGAACTTTAAAAAGATTTATTGGTAAAAGTAAGTGATGGGAGACTACTCCAGTCACAACATTTTATCATTGTTTTCTCTGAGTACACATATGGAACAATGTAATTCACATAAAAGGTAAATCATGAGCATTACTTTGTGTAGTACATGATTTAGAAACACTGGCATTTTCACAAGGATAATATTTATGGCTCAGTATTAGTAAAGCATTCTGACCCTAAAGATCTAATGAAGTTGCATACTTATATGGAAATATTAAAATATTTTGATGATTGAAAATATTATATATGATACATAATACATAGCAATACATAGCAGGAAACTTTACAAGAAAGGAAGAATGTCTTCTAATAATGTTCTAAATTCAAAGACTTGTACTTCTCTGGCACATGAACCACCAAATAACTTTTCAGAATTTGTTGGGTTATCTTAAAATCCCTAAGTATATTGAAACAGGATTAGATTAAAGTCAAGAGCGTTGCTTAGAATTGAGTGCTCAGGGTAGGGCATCAAGTTTTAATGCAGGCTCAACCTGGTCCTAGATCACAGTGGGAAAAGCCTTAATGAGAGTAACTCTACAAGGAAGTGCCCTCTCGGAACCCACAGGTATTAGTGGGGCTTGATCACCTGAATGGAAGGGAGCTTTTGGAGTGAGCCTTTCTGCTACTGGTGTTGCAAGCAGACGAGGACACTTGGTCCTGCTAACCCACAATACAAATGGGCAAATGGTCATTTTTCATTTCCAGCATGGTCACAGATCTTATCAAATGGTAAATTTATTTAAAGACTTAACATGATATAAAGCAAGTGGCTTACTGCTTATATTACTTGCTTTGTTATAATTAGCTATGATATGGATAATATCTTTATATTTTCTTTTCCTAGGTTCTCATGGGCACTGTGACTGACTTCCCTGGATTTGATGAGCGGGCTGATGCAGAAACTCTTCGGAAGGCCATGAAAGGCCTGGGTAAATCCAGCCATTTTTATGTTCTCAGGAAATGTGACATTTGTTTTTTTAACCAAAAGGTCCTCAATTTTCATATTATTATATTTAGGAATTTTGTTAAGAAATTTCTAGAAAGAGAAAAGATACATTAAGGTAACAAAATAATATGACTGACTATACCTAACTCATTCTCTAGAAATGAATGGGAAGTAAAATTCAGCTTCTTTGCTTCATAGCTTTTCAGCTTTCCCTGATGAAAACTGGTTGAGTAGATAAGCAGACACCACTGATAGAGATCAGCCACAGAGCTCTTTGTTCCCTACGCCCAATCAGATAACTTATTCCGTTTTCTGAAAAAAACACAAAAACACTCTGGAAAGGAAATAAGGAAAACAATACCATTTATAATAGCTAACAAAAAGATAAAATACTTAGGAATAAATCTTACTAAAGACACATACAAAGAAAACTACAACACACTACTATAAGAAACTATAAGAGACCTACATAAATGGAAGAACATATCATGCTATTGGTAGGAAGACTGAACATTGTGAAAATGTCAGTACTACCCAAAGCAATCAGTGGATTCAGTGCAATCCCGATCCAGATTCCATCAGCATTCTTTATGGACTTGGAGAAACCAATCACTAATTTTATATGGAAAGGAAAGAGACCTCAGATAAGCAAAAGCAAAACCAAACCAAACTCTGTTGTCGAGTCAGTCCTGAGTCAGCAACCCCTCCTTGGGTTTCCAAGGCAGTATCTCTACAAAAGTTAGATTGCTCGATCTTCCAAGAAGTGACTGATGGCTTTGAACCGCCAGCCTTCTGGATAGCAGTCAAATGCCTTAGGCACTATGCCACCAGAGTTCCTTCAGCACCACTACAGAGGAACAGAGTAGAAAGTCTCACATTCCCCGATCTTGAAGCCTACAATACAGACCAATAGTGAAAACAACCTGGTATTGGTCCAGTGACAGACATATAGACCAGTGGAACAGAATTGAGAATACAGAAATGGATCCAACCATCTACGGACAGCTGATCTTTGACAAAGGACTGAGACCCGTTAAATGAGGAAGAGATACTCTATTTAACAAATGGTGCTAGCAGACCTGGATATCCATTTTCAGAAAATGAAACAAAATCCATACCTCACATTGTACACAAAAACTAACTCAAGATGGGTCAAAAGACCTAAAGGTAAAACCTGAAAATATGAAGGAAAAATAGAGGCAAATTTGTCTGTTGAACAGTGACACTGGTAGGGGGCATTCATTAGAATAGTCAACCATGGGAGATCAGAAGGGCAGCATTTGAGTTGGGAGAAAGCTCAGAGGATAGGAATACATAGGAAAGAAGGACACAGGGAGGAAGTGGACAGAGAGCTGTTACATCACGGGAATTGTAATCAGTGTCACAAAACACAATGTGTATGAGCTAGTGAGTGGAAAACGAACTTGCTCTGTAAACTTCCACCCAAATCACAATAAAAATTAAAAAAAAACAAAAAACCCCAACTCTATTGCCATCTGTCAGTTCCTACACATAACAACCACATGTGTCACAGTAGAGATGGGCTCTGTAGGGTTTTCAGTGGCTGATTTTTCCGTAGTAGATCACCAGAGCTTTCTTCTAAAAGCATTAGCTTCTCAAACCACCAAATTTTTGGTTAGCAGCTTAACTATTTGTACCACCCAGGGACCCCTTCTCCTTCCTACCCTATAGAAAACTCCCATGTAGAGGATTTTCACATGCAGCTAATCTCTCTGTCCTCAGGATCCTTCCATCTTAGTGCCCATAGGTACAAACTCAGCTCTGATCTGTCACTCTCCCTTCTGAGCAGCATGTGTGATTTTGAATTATAGCAGGATTACTCACAGGCTTTCTGGTCTGGCCAGACCTTCAACATTAGCGTCAGGCCACTTACCATTTGCTGTGTTCTCTAATCTAAGCACTCTGGATTGTCTGCTATTCATGAAAGCCCTGTATTTTCCTATAGCTGCACTTCTCCCTCATCCTAAAAGACTGTCATTCTTCCCTGCTTCACTGCCTGTCGAAATTTCATCCTTCAATGTCGTTTTGGGTTTGAAGCTTTTCCCTAAACTCCCTATCAGCTAGGAGAACCTCCCTTGAACCCTATGTAACATGTAGAGCCTCTTCTGAGGATCTGCCTTAATTCACAGTTCTTTCTTTGTTTTTGTATTTTCATGCTAAATTGTCTGTTACTCAAAGCCAGGGTCTGTATCTTTCTCCACTCTGAATTCTGTAACACCCAGCATTCTGTGTCTTGTGAATAGTACTATAGATATTTGAGTAACTATTTGGTTGCATGGAAAGCTCTGTACACTCAGATTTTAAAAAGTTGGAAGTATTTTCCTACCTATCTCACAGTATGTCAAATAGTATAAGTTGGAAATACAACATTTTATATATTAGAAATTTAAATAGATATACAAATATCTGCATTTATGAATGTTTTGTATTTTCACATAGATAAAGAAATAAAGCAACTGGGTTACTGGTGGCAAAGGTATTGGGAGGGTGAGCATGTCAGAGAATAGAGTAATTGTTTAAACATAAATTGCAGGCACCGATGAGGAGACCATTCTGACTTTGTTGACATCTCGAAGTAATGCTCAGCGCCAGGAAATCATTGCGGCCTTTAAAACACTCTTTGGCAGGGTAAGACGCCACTTCATCTCAGTAGTCAGGAGCGCATAATAAGGAGCGTAACCCGTTATGTATTAGAATATCATTAAATATTGAGAGAAAACAAAAAATTGTGTGGTTAGGGATATATACCAGATTTTGTTGTTTATAGAAATACATTTATATGTCTTTTGGGAAAAGTTTTGTTAAAACAGATTCTTAAAAGTAAAATATTTTTAGCCTACTTTTTAAGGTATTCATTTTTTAAAAAACTCTTTAAGGTTAAGAAAAACATTTTTAAAAGTTAATACCCTAATGTATAAATAACTTTGCTTTAGCTTTAGGTCAGATGTTAAAAGTAACCAGGGAGGAACATACTTCTTAGTACAGTCAACCACAAGAGATCAAAAGGGCAGTATTTGCCCAAAAACAAAGCTCAGAAGGCAGGAGTGGGGAGGAAAGAAGACCTAATAGAAACAGAACCTGGGAAGCAAGTGGGAAGAGTGCCATTACATTAAGGAGATTGCAACCAGTGTCACGGAACAAAACACGTGTAAATTGTTGAATGGAAAACTAATTTGCTCTGTAAACTTTCACCCAAACTACAATGAAAATTTCAAGTAAGGAAAAAAAAAGTACTTATTTAGAACTATGGGGTTTTTGGTTAGCAGATGTATCTTCCTGTTCCTACTTGGTAACCCCAATAGTTTGTTTTAAAACTGAGTAAGTTAGGAATTTTCTAAAATCATTTTTCATACCATTCTAACACCTATTTCAAAATATAAAGAAGAATTCATTTACATTCAGGAAGAATCTTAAAATTTCTGCCTGGTTAACAAATTTGTGTTTTGTGCAATAGGATCTTCTGGATGATTTGAAATCAGAACTGACTGGAAAATTTGAAAAATTAATTGTGGCTCTGATGAAACCCTCTCATCTTTATGATGCCTATGAATTGAAGCATGCTCTTAAGGTAAAAAGATGAGTAAAAGGAAAATTTCTGCCATGAGAAATATTTTATTTACATAATTGCTTTATCTTGTTTTTTGTTCTAACCCATTTATTTGAATTATTTCAATGAGGGTTTCTTGCAAGACAAAAATATATGGGAGTCAATAAGAAGAAAAGGAAGGATAAAAAAA